AGTCTCGAACCTGGCAGCTTGCTTTCTCACTTTCCCTAAAAACAAAATAATAATTGAATGTTTCAGCCTTACTGATAAAACCTGTGGTGGTGGTGGGGGGGAGGTCAGAAAAATATCACCCAAAAAAGCTAATAACTTAGTGTAAAAAAAAAAAATCACTAGACAAGAGGTACACAGAGACTTCTGAATGCATAGTTTCCTCCGATGTTTCCATATTTATTTTGACTTTTTTTCTGCCAAGGATGTCTGCCCTGAGTGTCTGTTATTGATTGTCATAGGAGGAAGATTTTCATGAGATGGCATTGGGATCCAAGGTAACCAGCGTGTGTTCAGCAGGGACTGAAAGCGATAAGGATGGAAAAGCATCTGTGTGTCGAATGCTCCAGTGAGCAATCAGCACTCTCCTGAGATGACCCTTTACTGTTGCTAGGCACTCATTGCTGTTTCTGGAGTGGGTGGCAGCATTATGTAATGCTGAACCACATTGCCATCCTTTTTATATATCTTTGGGGAAAGAATGAGAACTTCCTGGGTTTTTCTTTCGAACTATTAAATTTTCAGGATTGAATCAAAATTGAGATGGTTTGAATTTGGCCCCCAAAAAATGAATGATTGTGTATTTAAGGAAAAAAATGTCTATTCTTGGGCATGACATTACTGTTTCAGGAGAAGCGATTTCACCGTAAGCATCAAAGAACATTAGGCACTCTCATGCATAAGGAGTATTTACATAAATCACATTAGGTATAGGGAACTCCCATAGCTCTATTTTATTTTGCCCTCGCCCAGAAGTACCTAAGGGGAGACCGATTGATTTCCTTTCTCCTTATGGATTTTTCTGATTAACCTTTTTTTTTTCAAACAAAGCCTCTGGAAATTTAAATATTAAGAGAGCAGTTTAGATTTTCATTTTCAGCAGTCTAGTGAAAAATGTAACTGTAATGGGCCCTCCACTGAAAGCAGCAGAAAATCTTAGGTAAAATATCTTATTGATGACATTTTTAAATGCACTAGTGATGAAAGCCATTCAAACCATGGGTGATTTTATAAATAAATAAATATCCATGAGTTCATACTAAGTAAACGATTGAATAAATAAATGAGTAGAGTGGGCAAATCTTTCAGACACCAAAAAAATCCAAATAATTTAGATAAATAACACCACTGTTAAGGAAGCAATCCATAACTCCCCACTTCTGAGGTGTAGGATAGACATTATTTCTTTCTCAAAAGTGTAGGAAGCTGGAAAGGGGTGCCGTAACTGTATCTGACATGTACTCCTTCAGCCAAGTGATCAAGGTGGACATCACCAGTGCGAAGTGTGTTGATACTATATACCCGTGATATATGATGAAAGTAATATATCATCTTTGTGATATCCCTCCCAAAACTGTCCTGAGAGAGACAGTCTAAAAGATACTTAACTAGCACTCCTCAAAACTATCGAGGTTATCAAAAATAAGAAAGGCTTGAGAAACCTTTAGGGGATCCTAGGAAGACATAATGATTAAATTTATTCTGATCAATGAGGCAGTAAAAACCAATAAATCTGAATAAAGTATGAACTTTAATGATAGTGCACTGTGATTAAGACAGCTGGCTCCCACGTAACTGATGGGATGGTTCATGTCCCAGACCTGGCAGCTTGAGATGCACAGGGTGTGCGTGTGTGCCTGCCCAAAATCCCAAAGAGAAATGGAAGAGGAGGGATTATGGCAAGGCCATGCCCCATTGAGTATGATGTTTCTCTCTCTCTCTCTCTTCTTTCCCTCTCCCTCCTCCAGTGAGTACACATGCCCTTGAGCTAATTAATAATAATAATAGTGCATTGTGGGGTTTTATTTATTTATTATTATCAATTTAATATTTGCTAAAGGGCACACAGTCACCATAGAGAAAGAGAGAGAGGGAAAGTGAAAAAACAAGCTGTCAGGTCCAGGACTTGAACCACGGTCGATCATGTGAGAGTTCACACCACCTGCTGGCCCAGTATTGCATTGTCAATGATTTGTCACTTGTGGTAAATGTGCCATATCAATGCAAAATTCTAAAAATATCAGAAACTGGGTGTGAGATGTATGGGAACTCTATGTTATCTTTACAATTTTGTTTGTATATCTAGACTATTCTAAATTAAAATTTTATTTTAAGAAAGTAAGTTGAAGACATTATGACATTTCAGTCCTGATTATTATATATCCTAAACAAAGCATTAGTTTTTAAAGCTTTTTTAAAATTTTTACTTATTTATTTTAATTTGACCAGAAAGAGAAAGAGGAAAAGTGAGAAAGCAAGCCACCAGGTCTGGGACTTGAACCGCAGTTGGCCATGTGGGAGTCCAGCACCCTTTACCAACATGCCACCTGCTGGCCCCAGCATTTCTTTTTTTTTTGAGAGAGACTTTTGCTATAGAGTGCATGTGACACAGAGAGACAGAGAAACAGAAAGCAAGAAGTCCCCCTGAGAGGGGCTGGCACATTGCAGTCCCTTCTCCTCTATCCTCCTTTCAGGATTTTGGGCATGCACACACAATCACCCAGAGTGATTTAGAGCCACTGGATCCAGGGCTTGAACCGTGGTCGACTATGTGGGAGTTCAGAAATGTAACCATTGTGCCATCTGTCCCACAAAGCATTTTCTTATATAATCACAAGACTAGTACAACCTAAGAAATATAACGTTGCTAAAATATTAACACCTAAAGTACAGTTCAAATCTTAACTGCCCAAGTTGCCCCAATAATGCCATATTTTGCTACATCATTTTTGTTTTAATACAGAATCCAATCAATGAAGATTACATTTAATTTGATATTTCTCTTTAGGCTCTCTAAAGAGTTGTCCGCTCATAAGGAAGTTCAACACCTTTTCAATTTACACATCACTATCCTTCATTTGATCATTTTATGTTTCTTTAGGGAGGGGGAAAAAAGGAGTCAGCATTGGTGGAGACTGTATCATGTCTCCACATTGTCAGTAGGGTCATCCAAAACTGCCTTTCATGAAACAATGAGCAATGCTTCCTAAGAGGCGGGAGGCTTGGCAGTGCCAGCCAGCCAGCATGCTAACTTCCTGCTGTACTTACTGATGTCAGAATTAAATTGGGTGTTGGTGTGGTTCTTGCTACATACACTTGTTTCTTTTTCTATTGAGTTGTCCAAGATAGAAATAAAGTTTCCACTTCTCTGATTTTTTTTTTTTTTTAACTCTACTAAGGAAGTACTTAGACCTTACTTAGGTCAGTTACCATCTCCAGAGATCAGGGAATACTTTAACATGTTTTTACAGTGTTTCTTTTTTGTGTTCTGATGGTCAATTTTTTTCTACTGTTTGTTTTCCCTATAAAATAAGGAGACCAAACCTTCTTTTAACCTCATTAATGGAAGATACAATAGTAACCTGCAGGGTACCCATGAAGGAAGGGAAAGCCTCAACATGAAGAGGGAGATTGTTCTGGCTGTAGGGAGTGGCATGGGAAAAAATGACTGAGCTGGAAACACTGGAGGCACTGAAATGATTTGAATAGACAAAATAAAGGAAGTGGTTAGAGAAATATGATAAATTAAGTTTTGATTAAAAAGCAATGGTGAGTCCACTGATACATGGCTTGGAATAGAAGAAACCTTACCTAGCACTTTGCATGCCATCCATCATAGCTGTTTTTGTTTAATGGAGAATTCTTTGAAAGCAAATTATTAAATTCACTTCAGATTGGACGGCTCCCAGCAAAGAGTTGTAGTATTCATTCATGAAGTGACTGTAGGTGACTGTAGCTTAGGTTGCACAGCAAGTGTGACTGTTTTATGGGAGAACTTGGCAAAGATTTTAGATATAGTTTAATGCAGGGATGTTCACTTAATGGTCATGTGGTATTAAATGAATCTCACAGGTCAGGGTGGAACCCACGTTTATCACTTCCCTTCCTTATCCTCTTTTTATTTATGTAAAGGGGTGGATTTTAGGAGAGGGAATTTTCTCGGTGTTTTCAAAATTGGTTTGTGTATTATTTTTCTTCACAGAAGCTTTAAAAAAAAAAAAAGATTACAACTGAGCTCACAAGTTATCTTTAAGTCCATGGGGTTTTACAAATCCTATCCTTAAGGAGCTAAATAAAGTAAACAGTTCTCTGAGTTAAGAGTTACTCAAGAGTCAGGAGTTGGTCAGATGATATGAGTAATTCTTAACTCCTTCAACTGTAGCTACCTAACCAGTTTGATAGTAATTGGAGAGTATGATGTTGATTAAAGACCTAGATATTCTTTTAAGTAGTCTTAGAACACAGTTTTTAAAACATGGGTCTTAGGGATCTGCAGGTGGCGTGGTTGTAAAGGTGCTGGACATTCCCACTTGGCCGACCATGGTTCAAGTCCTAGACCTGGTGGCTTGCTTTCTCACTTTCTCTCTCTGTGTCTCTCTCTGGTCAAATTAAAATAAATAAATGAATAAATAAAATGTAAAATAATTCTAAAAATAAACATGGGTTTTGGATTGTATATATATACATGGGTCACAATTATAATTACCTAGACAACTTCTGAACATTGAGTTCATTCAGCTACTAATACTGGGAATCTGCTATGAGCTACACATTGTATAAAGTACAAGGTTTTGGAGGGTTTTGTTGTTGTTGGTTTCTTTCTTTTTTAGTACAGAAAAATTACACGTTTCTTGCTTTGACTTTGCATTTCCTGGGTACTTAACTGGTAACTTATTCTCTCAGAGCCTTACTTTTATCATCTGTAGGAATAGGACGGTAAGGAGCCAGCTGGTGGCGTGATGATTAGGGGCACTGGACTCCCACACAGCTGAGTGCAGTTTAAGTCCTGGACCTGGCAGCTTTCCCTCTCCCCCTCTTCTCCTCTCCCCCTCTCCCCTTCTCCCCTTCTCTCCCTTTCCGATCAAATTAAAATAAACAAATAAATACTCAAATAAATAAAGTTAAATAAAAAATAATTATTAAAAAAAAGAAAGAAATAGCTGGTAACATCTTTTCCCACCTAGGAATTTGTTTGTGTTGGCAATCAGAATTGAAACATTTACAGCTGGTAAACTGGGAAACGCTGTAGACTGTGGAGAAAATGGCCGTCTTTCAGCTCTGTGAGCCTTTCTGTGGAACATTACCCACCAGATGCTGAATTGGGTGCCTCCAAGGTTTGTAGCCCTCTGTTCCATAATGAACTCTGGTTCAACATTCTTTCAAACATTTTCCTTTGGCTGGAGTAAACAACACAAAGAGTAGGATACTGTTGTGGTAATGGGACTATGCCTAGGGAAGAGGGAGTGAAGGAATAAGGAAGGTTAAATCTAATTTACTGTGGTTTGATTTTTTTTTTTTCCCCTAGTTTTTATCTTTAGCTTTCCCTTCAGAGTGGAAATGAGAAGTTCTGGAGTAAAATTAGAAGTTTAGCTCTGACAAGAAGAAAATTCCAAGGTTCATAGCGCTTGATGACTATTATTAGAAACATGAATGAAGTCCTTCAAAGGAGTTGTTACTTATTGTCTTTTTATCTCCTTGGTGGTTTTAACCTTGTACCTTTGGTTATAAAATTCAGGATTTGGGGAGGAGTTATGGGTTTGACCTTTTCCTTATATAATTTTCATATTTCACTTTAAGGTTGTAGCTGTTTAACCACTGTTACTAACTGAGAATTCTGTACTAGCAGGGATTTTTAGCCACAAATCTCATTTCTTCTTTTCACCTGTATAAGACAAATTTTTCGTATTATTTTGACAGTGACAGACATGAACTTTTGCTGTCTGATAACTGCTCAAATGGTGGCAGAATGACTCATGTAGGAAGGTTATCACAGGGACTGTATCCACGTACATTGGTTATCACTAGACTTTGCACCACTACTAATCATTTGACCTAAAGCAGGCACTAGTTGATTATTTTCAAATGTTTTAAATTGTTGTCATCTTAGTTTATGTAGCTCTCATTTTTGTATATCAGCTCTTAAATTTAAGTATGTAAGAATAGTGTTTGACAAAAATTAAGATAAGCTATAGTCACTTTCACATTACTTTTAAAAATCCAGTTAGACTGAAACTAGCTTTCTGTATTGACAGTGTATTGTTTAATCATGATCAGTTTCTTTTTTCTTTTTAAATTTTGTAAATATATATTTAATTTTATTTGTTATTATTATTTTTTTAATTTAATGAGAGAAGCAGAGAGAGAAAGTGAGAGAGCAAGCCTCCAGGTCTAAGACTCGAACCATGGTCAGTCATGTGGGATTCCAGCACCCTAACCACCACACCACCTGCTGGCCCCAGTCATAATCAGTTTCAATCCTAAACCAAAGTAAGCATAATATTGTCACACTTGTTGAAGATGCAGAATTTAGAAATTCAGATTCTTGGATGTGACTGCCAAAGATTCTTATTCTCAATTGAGTCTTTTTTTTTTTTTTAAGAATTTTTTTTTTTTTTGGTACCAGCAGTTAGCATAATGGCTTATCCCTGACCGTAGTCAGCTGTGGTTTGAGTCCCGGACCTGGTAGCTTAAACTCACGCCAGGTGTGTGTACGTGCGTGCCCAAGATCCAGCGAGGAGAATGGAGGAGAAGCGATTGTGGCGTGGCCATTTCCCCTGGGTGGTGATTTCTCGCTTTCTGTCTCTCTGTCTTTCTAGTGAGCACACGTGCCGTATAGCAAAAACCTCTCAAAAAAAGAAAGAAAGAATTTTTTATTTCTATTTATTTATTTATTTATATTAATTTGAACAGACAGAGAGAGAGAAAGAGAAGGGGAAAATGAGAAAGCAAGCTGCCAGGTTTGGACTTGGACCAGGGTCAGTCTCGTGAAAGTCCAGGACCTTTACCACCAAGCCACCTGCTGGGCTCCTCAATTGATTCTTAACACAGATAAGTTTGGGAAATAATGAACCATTTATAATTGATGTTTTTAAAATTCTGAAGGGTTTAGAATTCCCCAGAGGATCCTACAATGGAGGAAATTAAATCATCTCAGGCACCTGTTAGTTGCATTTACCTCTTTTGTTCCTGAAGTTCCTTAGAAAGATTTATTTCTCAGGGAAGAAACTATTTCTTTGAGAAAAAAAAAATCAGAAAACTGCTGTCATAAAATAGGCTATTTCTAGCTTTCCATACTAAGGTTAATATTGAGTCTTTTTTTCCCCCTAAGTTTCTTTCTTTCTTTCTTTCATGTTCAAGAGACCCCGTAATAGGGCCTTGATACTCCAATCCACCCCCAGCTCCAGCCAGCCCTGGATCATGGGTGCACGCACCTGGCCTGTCAGGAAAGTCTCTGGACACAAACCCAGAACCCTCTCATGTGGTTCAGCCTTGCAGAGAATCATGTTTTATCACTACTTCACCATCCAGTCCTTCTGTTTTTAAAATAGAGTCTGTGTCCATGTTATGGAACTAATATTCAAACAATTTAGCATGAGCTATGATCATAAATGGCAGAAAATTTTGCCCTCTTTCTTGATCTTCCATTTTTAAGCTGTTTTTTAAGTGTGGTTGTCATCATAGATTGCTTTCTTATTTCACTAAATTCTGTGCATTCCTGTTACTTATAGCACCCATTGTCCTCCTGATACAGGCAGACTATAGTTTCCCTTAGCTCAAACACATGCAGGCAGTGGCCCGCTGGTGGTGCCTAACAGCTGCAGGAAAGGGGACTGATTCATATCGTTTGCTAATTTCCATGATGTAAAGCACTAGCTACAATAGCCTGTTTCAAGCTACCAATATGATCTAAGTAGATGTGGAGCAGGGAAGAGATGCACACAGCATACTTAGTAATTTCCACCTCGAGATAGAATAGATATGCATGACTTTAATAGCATAGCACAATAATTAGGAAATGGTGATTTTTGAATATTCTTTATTTGTAATATATTTTATATGTATAAATTATTTCCCTGTAAGGATATTCAACAATCTGTTTCCTTGCTTATCTTTGCATAAAGAGATTGTCTCAAAATGGGAGAAGACTTTTGCTTTACATTTTCTGCCTTATTTTATTACTTAAATTAACTACTGTATTGAGTTTATGAACATCAGGTGGTATTAAAGAAGAAGCTCTCTAGGGACTTTGATGCAGGGTTGAGGAACCAGCACCGGAGGTTCCCAATGAGATACCACCATTTAAAAGCTGATTTTTTTCTGGGTTACCTGGCACCTTAGAGCCCAGCTTTGTGCCTAATCACTCTCATACATTTCTACTACTTATTTTCCATTATGTTCTTAAAATGATCTGAGAAATCTCTTTACCAAATGGATATGTTAAATTATAAAGAAAGATAAGAGAATTGAGACCAAGGGAAAATAAAACAGCAATCAAAGAAAATTCAAATCTGGGAATACAAATATAAACATACCAATTCTAGGAACCATCACAGTTGAACAACAGATTTGACTCTGAGTTTCTGGGCAGCCTACTAAAATGAAAATGAAAGAAAGAAAGAGAGAGTATAATTCAGATAGAAGAAAAGTCCTTTTTTCAAAGAAAGCCAAGCATTGAATTGTACTGAATTCTGTAGTAATTCTCACACCTCAAATTTCATAGAAAGGGACACAGACTAATAAACAGTGCCCTTGACACTATTCCTCTAGTACTTACAGATTATATATCAGTTTCTTATACTTCAAAAACCCAAGAATGTAATGTTACATTTCCCTTAAATGAAATAAGTATACTACTTTAGGACTATAACATAGTCATCAAACTTGAGCCAAAGTTATGATGATATCACCTAAAAGAATAGAGATTTAGAACAAAGCTGGCAAAAGATGACAAATACGTGTGTTTGGCTCCTGGCCTTTGTTCAGTTGAGGTCATTGTGCCATGTTGGAAAAGATTCTGAGACTAGGGTCAGCAGAAACAAATGCAGTGAATGACTTGCAATCTCTGCCTTGATCACAGGAATGGAAAGTAGTGGAGGAACCTCTTCCTGTTTGCCATTCTTCCTGCAGGCTATCTTAATGTACATTTCACTGGTCTGTCTGTCTCTAGTGTATTTTGTGTTGCTTTTTGTGACTGTAGATGAGGAATATTTTTATCCTGATTAACGGATTATCAATGAGCTTGGTTTTCCATCATTCTTATTTTTGATCCTATAGTTTATTTTGTTTGTTTAATATTAGCAATCCTATTTTAGTGAAACTCTAGTCTCACTGAGGTGGTGGGTTTTTTTTTTTATTTTTTGTTTTTGTTTTTGCCTTTAGCCTAATAGATCACAGTAATTACAATTTTTTTGTTTAGAAGCATAATTCTGAAAGTGGTGAAATAAGAGTTTGCCGAGTAATTCCTATATGCACATGATCATATTACATATTATTAATATGTAGATTATCAGTAATTAACTGTTATGCTGTACTAATTTTTAACAAACTACAATTTAAATTATTTTACAGTATTAGGGAGGGAATTAGTATTCTAAATAAAAATGTGAGGTTAGGGCTGGCAGATGGTATGGTTAAGAGCAGCAGAATCTCACATGACTGACTACACTTTGATTCCCGGACCTGGCGGCTTGCTTTCTCACTTTTTCTCTTTTGCTTTCTCTTATATATTATTTAAATACATAAATAAGTTATTTTTTAAAAGAATTATTTTATTTTAACTTTATTTATATATTTATTTATTTCAGTTTGACCAGAGAGGGACAGAGCAAGAGAGAGAAAGTGAGAAAGCAAGCTGCTAGGTCCAAAACCCAAACCATGGTCAGCCATATAGGAGTCAGCACTCTTAACCAGCATGCCACCTACCAGCCCCAAAATAATTCTTAAAAACAGAAAAATGTGGGGACCAGCAGGTGGTATGGTGGGTAAAGGGCTGGACACTCCCACATGGCCAACCATTGTTCAAGTCCTGGACCTGGTGGCTTGCTTTCTCACTTTCCCTCTCTCTGTCTTTCTCTGGTCAAATTTAAATAAATTAATGAATAAATAAAATTAAATAGTTCTTTTTAAAAATGTGAGGACGATTTTTTTAAATTTCTGGTTTAGAAATTAAATGTTAATACCACCAACTACAATACATATTTAGGGATTATTTTTCCTCTTAGAGATTTATACTCGACGTGATTGTTCTAATCCGTATTTTATTACCTTAGAAACACAGTTAATCTGTTGAAAAACAAGCCTAATGATTACTGACTCTACTACTTTACTTGATTCA